TCATACAACCAAACAGTCAAGTTTTGGAACTCGTCGAATGGACATCAGATCGGTCAAACTTGTACCGGTCACACCGACTCCATCTCGACGCTCGCCATCTCGCTTGATGGCTCCTTCATTACCACTGGCTCGAATGACGGGGCTGTGCGGTTATGGAGCACGAGAACACACCAGTGCATAGGACAGGCAAAACACAAAGACACCGTGTACGTTCGTTCGGTCGCAATTTCACCCAACGGAGAACTGCTCCTGAGTGGAGACTCTGAAGGGAATATTCAACTCTGGTCTATTAAAAACATACTCGGCCTACGCAAGGTGGTTGACAGGATAAATGACGATGAAGAAGCACTGCGGCAGCTATTCCTTACTCTCAATGTTACGCAGGTACGCTCTTACGCATTGGTTTTCTGTCTGTCTGTTCATTCATTATTGACAACGACACACAGTCACGTAGTCATAACATGAATGGTGAACCTGCTGGCAATAATGATAGTCCAAGCAATCATTCCTCGGAATCTCACGAAGCGTCTGGCGGTGATGACAACCATTCATTATTTGACGTGAGCTATTTGCCTTCGATGCGTTCACTTATAACGGAACTTGACTTCCTTCATGCAGATCCTTGCTGTAAACACGACTGTTTGCAATGGATGCCTTACTGGGGATCTACATACCGCTGAAGATCTACTGACCCAAGAGATTGACGCAGATGACAACAACCACGACTTGTATGCCAATCGATCAGTCGTAAGGGCACGAAACTCTGAGTGGGACAAGGCGCTTCAAGACTCGGCCAAGGTCAGACGCTCTGCCTATCATGACACATTTGATGTTGAGTTTACTTGGTGATATAGTCTATTTCCGTCCAACCCTCGTTATTGGGTTACATCTCCAAGGCCATCGCCCTCTGCGGCAATGGGCAGCTCTCGGATGCGATGGAAGCTTTCCATCTCGCTTTCGTATGTTCAGATCGTAATTCAATTACCGTCGATCTTTTACGATTGATCGAGGTACTCTTCATTGTTTTCTCGGTTAATTTGTCATACTAAAACTTCAACGTCATTTTGTCCAGGCTGTTGCACTTTTCAATGCCAGTTGCCACGATGAGGCAATGCGGCGAGTTCAAGACCTCAGCACCGCTTATGAACACTCAGATATACATCTATGCAGAGTTGTCAATGTAAGTTTTATGTCAGACCTCAGCTCCCTCACACTCGAACACGATTGTCAGTTGTATCTACGCGCGCAGCTCGCAATCATTACTTTCGAGGATGGGCGTTACAGCGAAGCCGCTGATCAACTTACGGCCAGTATTACCACTATAACCGACTTGTTCTCTCCTAACCTAAAGATATTCACGGTGGTGCGTCACTACAAAGCCACAGAGCGCACTTCCACTAATTGATGATGTACTGGACAGCTCTTCGGCTGGGACTTGAATTCGTTATGGAAAACAATCAATCAGAGACGGTGCGACGCATGTTTCCGCGCTGATCAAGTGATTAAAGCGGTCAAATCTCACCAATACATGATGCGCATGATTGACGAAGATGCGAAGGACAGCTACCTCGAATGGTCCACTGGTGGGTGCTGTGGGGTCGTAGACAACTTGAACATCGACGCTTACTCTGGAGTCGTTTAGCCTTCAAGAAAAACTGCATTGCGCGGTGTCTCACAAAGGGAGACGAGGCTGTGGCTGAGGGCAATTACGAGACAGCCACTGAACTGTATTCGGCAGGGATTGAACTAGATTCCTTATGCGAGTCCCTCTTTGTGCAATGCAGTAAGGCAAATTTAGAACGACACTTCTATGCGGACGCCCTTTACGACGCGAATTGGGTGCGGACGATATTCATAATTTGTCTAGCACTTATTTTAACACCGGAAATACATAGGTCATCGACCTCAATACTTCTTCTCATCTTGGGTACCAACTGAAGCATGCAGCGCTTCATGGCGTACGGCGCCATAACGAAGCAATCGAAGCCTTCAAAACCATGCTTTTGAAGTCGGACGATGCGCCCGACGCGCAGATACGAAGTAAGCCCGAACCCCCTATCCACCAATGTGAAAATTATACAGACTTTCTGCAGAACTGCGTCAGCAGTATGTCAGTTCATCCGATGTCGAAGACACTATTCGACGAGCCATTGACGCTAAACTGGAAAACGCTCCGCTCCGCCTAATAAACACATCCACTGGGCGTTTATGCAATCGAGAGGCGCAGATAGAAGCCTTTATGAAAAGCGCAGAGTACGAAGAGATTTTGTATTCATCGATGACGCAGGCACACCTCCAAACAGAGCCCATCAGAGAAGCGGTCACAAAGTACTTCAACTGGGTGATGTTATCGCATAGATGGGAAAGCAAGGAGCTGCTACTGCACGATGTCCAGGGCAAGTCCGTGTACCATTTGGATCCAGTCGGAACCGCTGTGAAGTTGCAGACATTCTGCCAAATCGCTCGTGATGCAAGGCATCGCTGGGCGTGGAGCGATACGTGCTGCATCGACCAGAGTAACAACGTTGAGCTCCAACGATCGGTCAACTCCATGTTTGTCTGGTATCGTCAGTCAACTCTTACGATCGTCTACCTGTCGGATGTTTTGTCTTCAGTGCAATCACGCGCACTCGCAAACAGTGCTTGGAACACGCGAGGGTGGACTGTTCAGGAGTTCCTCGCTCCAAACATCATTCTCTTCTACCGAAATGACTGGACCCTATATCTCAACGACCCCTCTCCCAACCACAAGGATTCTGTCGCTATCATGAAGGAATTGGAGGACTCGACAGGCATAAATGCACAGGCACTCATCGCCTTTCGTCCGGGGATGACAGGTGCGCGAGAGAAATTGCAATGGGCGTCGACACGTACTACGACCCTGCAAGAGGACATCGCATATTCATTGTTTGGCATTTTTGGCGTCTACCTCCCTGTCATCTACGGCGAGACGAAGCAGAATGCGCTTGGTCGGCTCTTACAGGAGATCGTAGCCCAGTCGGGCGATATCACTGCCCTGGACTGGGTCGGAACATCATCCCAATTTAATAGCTGTTTGCCAGCCGAAATTGCCTCGTACAAAACTTCGCCATGCATGCCGCCATCTCTATCTGAAGATCAGATACAGATGTTGGTCTCGTCGCTGCGAAATGCCACCGTCGTGGAGCAGGCTTTGACACTGTATACTCGGCTTGCCAGCCTGAGCCCTCCTCGTTTCGCGAATCGCAGGCTGCAACTGCCTTGCATCGTATTCCCCATCACAGCACTCAGACGGAGGCGTGGTCAAGACCGGGAGACATCTTTTACTTATGATGTCAAGGCGGTCGGGCTTGACAACTTGCTTATCACCACAGAAGACAAGCTGCGACCCGCTCCGCGGACATTCTTACTCATCCGTCCGTGGAACCGTCATGATCTCGGGCTGCCTGTATTTTCAGACGATGCAGACAGCGTGGATGATGATTGGCCAGAGCCCGAGTCTCCATCAGACGAATCACTCAGCGGGTATCCTGGAGAGGATGATCAGGTTGATTCGGAGTTGAGCGAGCGAGCATTGAGGTTGCTCGTTCGCCTTGGACAGCCCTTCGGTGCACTTTTGCTAGCGCAGCAGCGAGGTGGGGAGTACAAGAGGATTGCTTCGGATAACAATATCATCGCGCAAGTCAAGGACCTGACTGCTGTTGGTAACATGATGGATGCCAGGATGCTAGAGATGTTGTAACTGTACGTTTCCGAAGGAGGGAGATCTCTGACTTGTTTTCATTCACACTTTGGCAGTACTAGTGCCGCATTTGTATCATATCATATGTTAGCTCACAACATGAAAGCAAACCACCACATTTGCATACTCGATTCGTTGCTGAGTACTGGCTGAGAAGGTCCCTACCGCCCAAGTATCATATCAGTGATGTCCGGTAATTCATTGCGGTCGTCGTCGCTTGGTCTGGTCGTCTCTATAGGAACCCTATGCCAGTCTAGCTTTGGAATTTGTTCTGAAGCTCACGAATTGATGGAAGCTCCAGCCAATGTACCCCCGCGAAATGCAATGTTTAGCACAGATGCTAATGAACCCGTGTTATTCCAGGACGAGTTGCCCAATGCCCATGACGTAGAGGATTATATGAGCAAGGGTGCCAGGGGTCAGGCCAGTTCCGAGTTCAGGGACATCGCAAGTTTTGTGTAGGTGGCCAATGGCCATCATCCAAGATACAGACGGTTTCAGCCTCTCGTCCTCTCTAGACAGCAGTACTTGTTGTCCGATTCGTCAAGCAAGTACAGGATTAATGCATTACTCAGCTAGTGCCTTCGTTCTCTCCCAAAGGACCATAACAATGCGCAGCACTGACGCGACACGGTTAGACCGACGCGGACGACCGACAGCACAGGAGGCGTCAGAAGCACAGGAGATAAATTTTGCTCAGCTGCGTTAAGCCATACCATTGGCTCGAGACATCTTGCTCTTCGTCTCCTGTCATCGAACCTGCATGCAAAATGAACACTAAAAATGGTCAGTATATATATATGCGTGTGTCTCATGATATCTTGTCATTATAGACTTCATTTTTCGATAGTAAATTCCTTTTTTCACACTATTGCCCATTGACTTACATATGTAGCTTGAACTTCGGAGTCGCGACGTTGATCTAACTTCTAAGCCGCATGTGTCTTTGACACTTCTCGCACTTGAAAAGAGCTAGGTCTGTGTGCCATTGCACCCTCTTCGAAAAATCACTTCGCCTCATTCCCCCATCTTACCATGCACCCACACGTGTCCAGAGTTGGTCCAGAGGAAAAGTGATATCAATTAGATTTCAACTACATCACTCATCAATAGTAATTTCCTTTTTAGCACTCACATCCCCGTCTCGTCAACTTGAACACTCTTCATCTACAACGCCAAGGTAGGTATACCGTTGTCCCTGCTGACGTCCTCTCACAATAATTTTCTGTCTAGACCGCTTCTAAATATCAACAAGACCCACCGCTAACCACCTCGGATAATGTCCAACACAGATTCAGACAGCTTTGTCAATATATCTTCCTTTCTCGGTTCGGGCAGCGACATCTCTAAAGACCAGATGAAGACGGATGTTGTCTCACCTTCCACGTCTCACGGACACAATGAAGAGCAGCTCACAGACCTTCCTAACGAATGGAAAGTTCCCTCAGATCCCCGCCTTCGGGGCTGGTTCACCTTCTGCGGCTTGTTTCTCAGACAGCCTGATCTGGAGGAATTGTGGCAGGAGGTGAGAAAGGCGAATGGCTGGAAGAAGTATAACCAGCGCTTGCGCGATGCGGTGATGTGGATCCAAGAGGGCGTGAGTTTGCCGTTCATTTATATTCTGTCTTGCAAAACTGACTTGTCCGCTTTCGCAGTAATTACTGGTTATATTTGCGGATCTTGTATTCCTGTTGTTTAAACCCCTTCAAGACCTCGACTCCGCTTCCAGCATGTTTTATTACGCGCTGATATGCATGTCGATCCAGTTCTCCTGCATGGGAGTGTGTTACAGTGCGTCGTTCAAGTTCACCAGCGCGATGATGGAGGCAATTGAGGATGCCAAACAGAAGGTAGATAATTTCCCAAAGCATAGAGCACTGTCATTGACCATAAAAATTCGCTCAGGGCGAGCAAGTATCCAAGCTGATGGGATTAGAGGTCCTGTGTCACGTCGGTTGCTTTCGCATGATACGGTTTTCTCTCGCCTACTCTTCAGCGTTTCTCGCGGGTGGTAGGCTCTTTGGTTTTGGAATTCATCTTGGTTCTGACTCGTTGTAATTGTACCAGGTCTCTGTATGGTTGCTCTGGGGGTGAATGGATTTATAGCCACTGGGGTGGCCATCACGGTCGGCATACTCTCAGACGCGACTTTTATGAAGAACGAGCCAAGGATAAGGTCGGTGTGTCGAGTAGGTGGCATTATGTGGGTTTGCACTGCCCTGCTTTACATTCTACGAAATCGTTTTACCTCTGGCGTTTTTTGGTAAAATCCGCAGCATCCATACGAACCAAATTTTACTACTTTTTGTAGATGTTCAATCGATTTGTACGCTTCGAACCAACGGTCCGTAGCTGTCCCTCTTTCCCCCCTTGAGTCCACCGTGCATACATGCACTGTTAGGGTAAAGCTCACGGGGCGGAAATTACTTGGGATCATGTATTCATGATGAGCCTGCTCTCGGCAACACAGTGTCCAAATGACGGGTGTACTTGCAATATCCGGCAGCCCACTAGTACTGACACAGTCCGCGATCTGTGTCTAAACCATATAGGTATGTGACATACTGAAGGTGCATGCTTGAGTAGTATCGACGACCGATGGCTTTGGTACTCCTCCGGACGAAATCGATGTTGATCTCTGACGCGTGTCTGCCCAAAATAGTCGATGATGCTTTTTTGTCGTACTCCCGTGTGATGTCACTCTAGGCTACCCTCATGTCAAACAGTTAGTGTAATCAAAGAACAAACGTATGTCCATTGGCTTGTGCGTCTATATATTTACCTGATGGTTTCAGTTAGTTAGGTATTGGGCGTTGAACGTTGAACGCTCGAACGTTCAACTTTGTGCTCCCGAGATATCAGGATCATTGGGATGTAGACACACTGATGATCAAGTCCTCAGAAGGTATTTCATAGCACATACTAATTTCTTCATTCGCGTTACACACTAACTCAAATTGCTCTATGGATCTAGAATTTCAAGTGGCGATTCTGCCAGTTCTGCCAGCACAGCCGGAAGAATCGGCCGTTACCTGCTTATCGTGCACCATACCCTTTGGTTTCAGATGCCGACGTCAGTTCAGTCTATGGCTTCTGCGCACATTGTGTGGTGAGGTCAGCGCGACAAGATTCAATGCAGAGAAGGCTTACCACTACGGCACGCTTCTCAAGCTCGACAGCTGTTTTCTTGCCTGGGTCATGCTCTGGCTCTGGATTTTTGCTCTGTGCACATTGTATGGTGAGTTAAACACGACGAAATTTGATGCGGGGCAAGGCTTACCACTACGGCACGCTTTTCGAGGTCAACTGTTGTTTTCTTGCCTGGGTCGTGGTTTGGCTCTGGATTGTTGCCCTGCGCATATTGTATGGTGAGGTCAACACGATGAGATTCGATGCGGAGAAGTCTTACCACTGCGGCACGCTTCTCGAGGTCGACTATTGTTTTCTTGCCTGGGTCATGGTCTGGCTCTGGATTGTTGCCCTGTGCAGATTGTATGGTGAGTTCAACAGGATGATATTTGATGCGGATCGAGGCTTACCACTATGGCACGCTTGTGAAAGTCGACTGTTGTTTTTTTGCCTGGGTCGTGGTCTGGCTCTGGATCGTTGCCCTGCGCACGTTATATGGTGAAGTTAACACGATGAGTTATGATGCGGAGCAAGGCTTACCACTACGGCACGCTTCTCAATGTTGATTTTTGTTTTCTTGCCTGGGTCATGGTCTGGCTCTGGATTGTTGCCCTACGCACATTGTGTGGTGAGTTCAACAGGATGATATTTGATGCGGATCGAGGCTTACCACTATGGCACGCTTGTGAAAGTCGACTGTTATTTTTTTGCCTGGGTCGTGGTCTGGCTCTGGATCGTTGCCCTGCGCACATTGCACGGTGAATTAATTTTGATGCGGAGCAAGGCTTACCACCACGGCACGCTTCTCAAGGTTGATTTTTGTTTTCTTGCCTGGGTCATGGTCTGGTTCTGGATTATTGCCCTGCGCACATTGTATGGTGAGGTCAACGCGATGGCATTTGATGCGGAGCAAGGCTTACTACCACGATACCAGTCCAGCGTTGACATCCAGAAGGGCCGTCAAGCCAAGGAGAACACAGAAACCAGTAGAGAGGCGGGCGAACATGATAGTGAGTTGATCTTTGACTAGAGAGAATTGTTGGTGCTGTCTGATCTGTGAAGATCCTCGGTTTTTATATTCCATAGAAAACTCCTGAGTCCTAACAGAGTGTTTTGGAATTTTTAAACACATGACAGTGCTGACAGAATTGATACGAGTAGTTCCGGCGGCATTCGTCAAAGGAGTTAACGCATACGTACAGGGCCCAAATCGCGGCAGGGTCATAGTTCGACAAGTGCTTTATGGTATCAAATAAATGTAGGATGAAAAGTCATCGGCAGGCACGGGAACATCGACATTGGCCCACGACATATCTCCTTGCAGAAGGCCTTGAATAACATGATGCCATCTAACCATCGTTGGTCACGAACCTTGACCAACGACGGTCAGGGGTAATTGTTGGTGTTAGTGTCACTGAGTGGATTGTGCCAGTCGATAGAAGCTGGTCTACACGCTATAAACTGCTTGCAGATAAGACATGTAGACTGATGTTGTTTAAAGATGATCGATGGGACTCATCACCGGTTCGCATGATAAAAAACTTTGCGATGTGGAAAAAAGAGCATTGGTAAAAAGGGCCATTCGAGGGACAGAAGGACAAGGTGATATTAGCCCAAGGCGACAGAGGGGTTGTGAGCGGTGAAGAAGATGACGCATTTTTATCTGGGACATCGAGTGCAAGCAGAAAGTATTCAAGCCGCTGGTGAAGCACACAAACTTGGCAGTCCATGTTGTTGGTGTGCTTCTCACGCAATGGAAAGAGACTTGCTCTGAGTGGGTCTAGAGAAACAGGTTCTGCAGCTGTCTGCAGCATCGATGCACCGAACGCTTTCTATGGCCAATTAAAATTAATGGTTTCTCATCATCGTCATCGTCGACAGCATCACGAAAGGGAGAGTACTTAAGAATTTTTAACCATAAAGCAACTCTACTCGCCACGGAGCTCGAGCACACGGTTTGTAAATAATTTTTTCGCAGTGGCCAGATATACGTGAAAGTATCGAAACGTTGCTTGTGTCAATCAAGTACTGTCTGACGCCGAACGCAAGGTGGCACCGGACCTGCCATGACTGAGCAACTGCCACGTCGTCTTGGATTTCATCACTGGGTGTTGGCATTATCGATGGCTTGCACCGAATTTACGCCTTGAAGGAAATGTGTAGTCGGAGACTCCCGAAGATCGTTTTGAGCGACTGATGCATGACGTCGGAAACAAGATCGCAAAGAGTTCTGCCAAATCAGGTAGCCTATAGTACCATTGTTAACATGTCCGACCACGGTGGACGACAGCTGATGAGACAACGGACCAGCTGTAAATCCTTAAAAATGCAGAAGTCGCTTGAATGACCCTCGTTAAAGTGGCCAAGGGGTTGGTTATTTCTCAAAAATGTGTATAAGACTCAGCACAGCGCAGATATGTCTGAGTGGAATATCCGGAAATAACTGTAGAATGCAATGGCATGATCTAGATGAAGGAATAGGTACGATTTAGAACGCGCAATACCGCAGGAAAGTCATTCGGGACTTTACGATTTAGGACGCGCATATACGTGTGTGATATTGATAGGCGTTGCAAGTGTCTGTCACTCAACCGATCAACATGAGTCATGGTGGAAAGTGAAGACGTAGACTAGTAATGTGTGAAACTTACTTGACAGTGGCTCAAACATCTGCCCCAGGCCAGCGTGATAGGGTTGGAGGTTCCTAGTGACACTCGTGTAACACTACTACATGTGGAGCTGCGATAAAACAAATATCTGCATATTGATGTCTTCTGCGGACCTTCTCCTCATGGTCCTGCGGCAGCTCTCAGACTCGAGTATCAGTACAAAAACAGAGGGGAGTGAAGTCCATCTAGCTTGATATATCTGAATAGGCGATAGCATCATGTGTTCTTTTCTTCTTGTAGAGGGTGAGCTCCCGAACGACTAATTATGTCGCAATTCTTGCGTCGGGCACAGATTCCAAACTGTGTTTATTGTTCGCCGATTCCATTGGATCACGGCTCACGATCAGTTGTAGTCACGTGTAGTGGCCGGTTGGTTCCAATTCGATCCAATTCGTGGTGTGGAAGTGCTCCACGACAGCCTAATAATACATATGATAGAGTGGGATGATGCAATCTACTCGGTCGGGAAACGTACGTGGGGCGGCATTCTTGGTAGCATAGAATCCATCATGACAGCTGGCATGACTATGCTCTCATGGGGAGAACCGCATTTGCTGAGTTGCTAGCGCTGTAATACATCAGTGTTCCCGCAAAAAAAATGAAAACGACAATCTGGGAGACGAGGACGTTCCGTTCAGCACATACACCATGCCCCATGCGTACCTTGCGAGGCAAAAATGGTTCGAAAATTGCGCATGGGGTATGAAGTCGTAGCCCTACGTTCGACTCATGATCCATAGCAACAATGCAGCTGGGTGTTGGGTCAACGGTATTCCTCGAAAGATCTTCAACTCCCCTGTCACGCTAACCAAAGGACTCACATACGAAATATGCCTTCCAAATACCACCACCCCACCCCCACCCTTCTCTTGCACGATCTCGACGCCATGGAAGCCTGTTACAATGGTGTTTCTTGTAGCAGCAGGAGAAACTACGAAGTATGATTATATCGAGTCTGGCTCGGTGAGAGCGCGTGGGACTGGAGTAAGGCGGGGAGGGGAGTTAGATACGACTGTGGATTACATATTCGCCTTGGGGAGGACATCTGCAACATGTAAAGCTGCCCTTATGAACAATCCGTAACCTTTCTTTTCTCCTTCTATTGATTGATGCAGATATATGCCTGGGATGGAGACAAGAATAGATCCAGGAATAGAGGCACATTGGGCGTAGTAGGTGCCAGTAGGCCACGGGTGGGGTAGGCACGGAAACGAGTGGGACCTGGTGAATGAGGTGCGTAGTGGAATTGGTTGTTTGGGCAGCTGGCAGTGCACCAGGCCCCAGATCAACTCTATGTAGAACTCTCGAGTATCACACTCAGGAATCAGAGTAGATCTCACGCAGATGACTTTGAGTTCAACGAACGAGCCAAAATTAATAGCCGATGGGTTCCGAAGCGCCGCCCGGGCCGTAAGTAGTTCTTTGGCTGCAAGATGTCGGCAAAATTCGACTATCCTCCTTCAGACCGAGCCTGCAGCCTGAGACTGTAGTCATGGCGTGTCGTGACCAATCTTGTCAAATGCTTACAAAAGATGTCCTGCTTGTTGGCCTGGGTGCAGTTGGAACAATCTGTATGTCGCGCCTCACGAACTTCACTACTAGCTTGTGACACTATTTGAACATTTCGTATAAACGATACTGATATTGGTCTTAATCGTAGATGCGTATATCCTCCAAAGCAGCAAGCTTGCGCGAGTCACTGTCGTTGCCCGAAGTAATTATGATGTCGTGAATGGTGAATTATGTTATCTCATCATCAAGATTTGTCCCGCGATGTTGATCCGACTCCAGCCAAGGGTATGCACATCAGGAGCAAAAAGTATGGCACTCACGAGAGCTGGAAACCCTACCGTCGTAAGTAACTCCATATTGTCTGCGATCTCAATCGCCATGCATTGACATTATTGGTTGATATTGGTATCGTCGGTGGCAGAAGCCGCTGACAGGTCGTATTCCTACGTGGTCATTACAACCAAGGCAATTCCAGAGGTGGTCGAAACACCTCGTGTCCTAGAACCACTGCTTTCTCGTCCATATAGTGAAATGCACCCCCAGCCTACTTATGTCATGCTCCAAAACGGACTCGGAGTGGAGCGAGATTTGTATCATAGCGCCAAGGCACTCAATCAAGGTCAACCGAAGATCATCAGCGCGCTCGTATGGATCGCAGCGAATTTGGTGGAGAAGAACATGGTCAATCATAACCGCTTCGTGAGCAAAAATGATTCAATCCTTTCGGATTTCTGACATATATCATCTCTTACGGACACAGGATCGTCTTACCATTGGAATGTACAGACATGGAGATCACCTGACGACTACCAATTCTCCTGAAGAATATGCTATTTTGGCAGACTTTGGAACCATGCTCGAAGCAGGAGGTTCAGAAGCGATCATTGTAACAGAAATCCAGCGCAAGAAATTTGCCAAGACAATGTGGAATATTGCATTCTCCTCCTTCTCGACTCTCACTGGGTCTTCTCCTGCAGCGATGTTTCGACCTCCGCCTGAAGAAGGCCAATCATATAGTCCTTACGTCGCTTCTCAGACAGCAACAGTTGTTGAGAGAAACACTATTCCCGTTCTACGTGCGATTTTACAAGAGATGATTACCCTTGGTGATTTCTAATTGTAAGACCTCTTCGTATATCTTACCTATTTCGCAGGGCGTGCACTGGGCTACGCAGACAATGAAGATGGTCTACCTTCTTCCCTCGTCGACAGTACTATATTACAGACTGCTGAGATACACCGCGACCCTGCACATATTACTCTCCCGAGCATGCTCCTCGACGCCCAGAATGGGCTACCTATCGAGGTTGAAGTAATTGTTGGCGAGGTGGTCAGAATGGCGAAGGAGATGGGGGTAGACGTACCAGTAAGCAGTTTTTGCCGTCTCCGACATGATAACTGATCTCTGCCCCGCAGCGTATTGACACTCTATATGCTTTGTTGGCTGTTGTTCAAAACCAGACTCTTGGTGGGTTTAGACAGTGCAAACTGTAGACGCAGCAGCCCTTCAATGCCACAATATTTTGACCTGAGCTAAGCTGCTTATTGGTTTTTTGAACCTGCCAAGGATTTGGTTCTGCAAGACGGTCGATAAAGCGTACAACATTGCAATACACTGCACAGTTACACTGATGAGTCGGTGAAGATGGAGAACACTGTACATTGTCCCCCCCAGCGCCAAGGAAATTAACTTCTGATGTCTTGAATGTCGTATGCAGTGATAAAGCTGTGAGTGGTGCAATGCTGCAAGGTGTGGTGGAACATCCAGGATCTAGCATAGCGTACCATCAACAGATTGTAGTATAAAAGACGAGTCAAGAGCGGGATAGCGAGTCCAGTTCATCCCTAATCACCCTGGCAATTCCCTCAGCCGACGGACGATCCTGAGTTGCAGTTGACCAACATTCCTCAATCAAAGTCCAATACTCGTCAGATAACACAGGATAGCGTGATCGTAAAGGCTTGGCCCCGATGCCTATGCGTTGAATGACTGCAGCATCTCGTAGGTAATAGTAGGGTGTTTTACTGGTGAGGACCTAAAACGGAGGTAATGACGTCAGTGGGAGGACGAAGATTTCCTAAACATACATGTAGCATGATACCACCAAAGGAGTAGATGTCGCTGTATTTGCTTGGCCGTGTTGGCAATTCATTATCTGGTTCCCCGAGTAGCTCGGGAGCCAGCCATCGAAAGTTTCCGTGGAACGCCGAGGACCAGGAAGCCAGGGAGGTACTCATGGCTTCAGAGTATACCAGGGACAAACCGAAGTCTGCGAGGCAAGCTGTGCCGTCACCATGAATAAGCACATTCGGCTATGTAGAGGAGACGATGTTGACATCTGAATCGCTTAAAACGCTCGAAAAGGGAACAGCTTACCCCAGTTAAGTCACCGTGAATGACATTATTTGCGTGAACTGTCAAGAAAGCGTTATGAATCCAGTCAGGGGTATCGACACTAATACGTACGATATTGCAGGCCATTCGTAATATCTCCGAGCTAACATTGCCATCAGCCAGTGCTTAAGATATATATTACAAAACTTACAATCTGGAATCGTCTGACCATGGTAAGATGTGCATCTTGCCGCTCCAGATAGGTTGTCAGATTACCATTATCTGCCCAGGGGCTGACCATTGTCATGAACAGGTCGAAGCCATGCGTGTAGCCATACACAGGCAGAATATTGTCATGCTTAAGTCTTGCGCAAGTTCTGATTTCACGTCGTATCCTCTGCAAAACCTCTAGCGTAACTAATAAATGTAGAAATTCATCAAGACACTCACTTTGGTCTTTTTCTCCATTGCTCCGTCAAGTTGATCAGAAGCGTAAAATAGCAATGATTTCACTGCAACCTGCAAAATTGTCAACTTCGTACACGCAGGTAGAAACAATATTGCACAAACGGTGATCGGTCCCTGATCCGTTTGATAAGTACATTTCCATATCTCTCCAAATCCGCCACGGGCAACAGGATAGTCTCCAACCTTAGTAATGGATTGTGTGAGGTCTCGGAGCGTGACAGGGGGGACTGATGAACGGGACTGAAAGTAACCGACTATAGTCGTGACACTGTAAGCACTAGAGACACTCACATCTGACTCCGCTCGCACGAATGACACCTGTGGAGCGTCACGTCGATGTTGCTGTAAAAGGATGCGAGCAGTCAGAGACAGATTCAAGGTGACCTCACAGTAAACTGACTTTCTGGAGGTGAGAAGGAGACGAGTGATAAAGATCCATCCTCGAAACACGATGGTTGCGATGCGGCGTTTATGCACGCAACAAACAACTTGGTTTGGAGTGCCAATCAGAGAGATTGGAGAGATCGAGGGCATAGCTCGTTCGTTGCGAGATGTCAAGTAAAGGTTGGATTACCTTGCATATATTTCAAGTACTACTAGCTTTGGCTGAGGTGCTCGCAGAATACCAGGACTTATGAACAACAAGCTCCTCAGGCTCTAGGTTTGTGTTTTCGTGAGATTCAGCTTGTCTTTCCGACTCTTGTCTGCGTGCGTGGTGCGATATGATACTATCAAGCTTGCTGCGTTACGGCGTCAAGGGTGAACTTACTCAGTTAACTCTTTTTTTTGGGACAGGTTGGTTGAGTCCAATCCCGAGTTCCCTGCTAAGCGGGCTAGGACAAACTTCAAACGATATCTGTACTTGCTTCAAGCTTCTTTGGTGACCACCGTAGATCTCTGATCTGTGTGGCTTCCTGTCGGCGGATTCGTGTTTTATTCTGCCCTCCACGGGCACTCGCGGGACACGTCAGAAGTTATGTGATAACTACACAGCTCTCCAACATGGATGCTGCCTTGTTAGATTGGACTCGTACTGACCTATGGCATATACGAAGATTTTACTGCGCTCCCTTCCCATGTCAAAAGACTTCACTTCTACTCTAGTATGCGATAGATATGTATTGGCGATGGATGTAAAAAAATGCTGGAACGTAGGCGTCGCAGATCATTATTTTACTAATGAGCAACTCGAGCAATGCCTCACGCAAAGCTATAAACATTATGAAGATCAGGCAGCGGATGTCCTTGCAGCGGATTAGCCTATCAAAAGCATGCATACAATGCATAAGCACTCGAGCACAAAACGCATACATGAATGAACTTACAGGATACGCAACTTCATCCCTTGAAAGGCGAATTCGATGTTGGGGCAAGTACCCCTCAAGCTTTGTCCGTGCGTAAGGCAGGGAACTCACCACCTCCTCCGCAAGCAAGCGACCCGCCCTTAAAATACTCGGGTCCGTCACTAAAGCACCACGCGACCCACGACATGCCTTGGCCTCCTCTCCAGCCCATCTAACACTCGCAGGATTGAAGTCTAGAATGAAAGCTGCAGCTCGGGTCGAGGAGTCTTCTTCTGAAACTTCATCGCATGTATCATGGTCTATGTCGGTGGAAAAAGCCACCCTATAACCATCTACATCCTGCAAAGGCTCTACATCGCCCTGTTCACGGAGGACTTCGTCCATCAAGAAAACGCGGGATATCTTGGGACCCCACTCGTTCCAAAGCATCGTGCAGTCAACAGCATCTTTTCCATGAGTGATGGAAAGCAACATTGCGATATCAATAGCGATGTCCAATTGAGCTTTCTGAATGCCTATTGCAAGGGGTATCGACAGAGCCATGATTCCGCTGTTCAGTGGAAGGATCTCTCGAGGACGCTGATTGGGCTGAAGAATCCACTCCTGAAAAGCTCTGGGGAGAAGCATGCGACTGGGAGATATGGATGCCTCTGCTCGGATATGGGGTAGTTGTAAAGACAACTGAAGCGTCACGCGCCCAGACGAACACAGCTGGCTCGGCAAAATGACATCATAAAGACGGAGCATTAGACGGGAAGGGTTGGCGCTTCTGTGGATGACGGCAAGAGTACGACCGTTTATGAAGTTGAAATCGTCGATCCTGTCGGGATGAAATCCCACCTTCAAGTTACAAGTATAACATCTCAGTTAATTTGATTGTTCGGGCCGGACGATGTAGGCTTACCAATTTGAATAAGATGCCGGTTTTCCAGTTATAAAGCAAGAGCATGTTGGCATGGGGTTCTAGCTTGTTCGAAAATGAATCCCTCGTTATGATCGCGCACCAGGAACCCAGTATTCTTAGACCACGGGCGTCGAGCGGAGCGGAGAAATAGACCATTGGGCAGATGCTGGTGAAGAGGATACGGGTTGGACTAGCAGCTTTTGAATGCGGAGACATCTCTCGCAAGGAGAGGAAGCAGAGATAGGACATGCCAGTTCTCAAAGAGGTTTCTGTCAGTGTTATTCAGTTGCGCGTAAGACTACTCACCCAAGGTGCATCCGCAGCAGAACAAGAAGATCCTGCTGTACATCAGCAGCGTGTAGACGAGTAACCTCATCAGCTTGACTATGAAAGGTTGCACGTTCCAATGTATCCCCAACAACAGTCGATGCATCCCGTTTAGACACATACAAAACTACCTTCTGATAGTAGCTTGTGAAGTGGCTATCATTCAGAGTTGCACGGCAGGATGAAATGATCGGGCGCATCGTCCTCCACCTGTGTTCTCTGCACCTGAGGGAAGCCAAAGCCTGTGGAAAGGAGATGATTGGTGATGCGGATGCGGCATTATACTCAAGACCCTCCCGCTTAAGTTCATGGAGGTATGGGACGCGAACTAGGGCACATATAGCTTTAAGTTGCTTACACGTCTGTGAGAGGGTCAGATGCATGCATACGGGAGACATGAGGGTAGCTACCTTGGAGAGACTCTCGAGGTCACTCATAGTTGTTAAGTCGAGCAGATATACAAGCACGTCATCGGGGAGGTGAAGAAAGTGGGATGCATAAGACATTGGAAAAAAAAAAATGGGCGACGTCCAAAGGCTGTTGGAAGAATTCATGTCATATATAAGATGAAACATCGGGTCCTGAATAGGTCGCGAAGAGAACCGTCATGAGCAACGGCCGCCGGTGGCCGGTCACTGTTCCACTTACGCTGATGCCGTAAGTATTGACATGGTTTTGGACGAGAAGCAAAGAAGACGAACTTTATGTAACAGGTGTCTCAACAGCATTAACCGTTATGTATAGATCGTCGTGCTTTAGGCCTGGGATGGACTTGTTGATGGACGTAAGTTAAACTTGTGGGCCCTGGCTGAGACTGGCTAAGAGCAGAACAGGAAAGCAATCCCACCTCCATCCTCGCTTTATTATGCAATCGGAAACCAAAAACGACAACACTATTTCTAATGTGTCCTTAGTACCTGGATAAGGTAGAATGCAGCATGCATACTATCCCGAATAGACTGTAGGGGATAGTATATGCAATTTTACCACCATCCGCCACATCCAGGCACCAAGTTATATCGTGCTTCATGAAAGGGTCTGAAGCGGTACCGGACACCCATCCAACCACGGTGCGAACCTGGAGAGTGCAGAGCCATTTTGCGATATACTGAAGGGAGCGCCACTAACTACAAGGACGTCTTGTCCGACGTCCTCGCGCGCTGCGAACTCGGTGAAAGCCCAATTTCCGCCACCATCAAAAGGAACGATCCTCGCGATATGTTGCATATCTGGGGCTACCGCATGGTCTGCAACAAGTGCCAAGTGGACTGCGGAACACTTGGCAACGAAGTTGCATATGCTGCACCAGGAGGAGTGAAAGAGGTAGCGCACTGTCAAGGGTATGAGGTCAGTGCGTTTATTGAGTAGACTTACATGTAGTGTCTACCTGGAGAGCGAAGAGATCATGCTCGAAACACAACGACGCCAACTGCAAGGATGACTTCATTGTTCACATTTCTGGCATCGTTTCAGGTGGTGGCGCCGCGACCTCAATGAATATATGTCGCATATCGGGGGCTATTACCACATGATATCTGCGACAAGTGCCAAGTGGACTGCGGACGCACACTTGGAAACGAAGTTGCCTATTCTGCACATGGAGGAGTGAAAGAGGTGGCGCAAAACCGTCGACGATACGTGGTCGGTGGATTTATTGAGCAGACCTTGTGGTGTCTCAATTCCGGGACTGCTGCAGACTCAAATACGAAATGGCGTCAGGTAGGGATACAGATCTTGTTTGAAACCAAAAACCTTGGCAGTCGCGTCGATGACGAATCATATCGACTGTTGTCGACATACGGGAAAGTGCGAGGTTAATCTCCGATTGAACGTGTGAGGCATGACAGGTTGTTGGAAGGGAGTTAGGTGAGAGAGCGGAAGCTTGGCGTTGGAAGGATGGAAGTGCCGGTTCTAGTGCGTCAACGGAGGAACTTTTTTGCAGCGACTCGTGTCAACGACTGTCCGTCTCTGTCACTGCTTCGGATGACACCAATAAGTAACAACATAGATCGTCGGAGATAAATCATAACATAGTCACCATCTTTGGGCCAAGTACGCTGGGGGTGTTAATAGCACGTTAGTACGGTTCATTTGAGCAAATTTGACACTAATGATCATATACCTTCGTCCATCTCCTGCGTCTCTTCATCATGCGGCACTCCGAGGTCTTCGTAAATGTGTCATGTCCACCTGCGGCGTCATCCCATGCGAGATGGAGTTTTTTGCTACCGTGACTAGGTAGTAGTTTCGCCGAGGGATGGCGCGTGGCTAACTTATGTAAGTGGGACTGGCATGATTTCACCTGACCTTCCCAATAAGTAAGCCTTACTATACTGAGTGATTACGTGGATGGCTCAGTATTATTAGGCTTAATTACGATAATCCTCGACACCAGCGTTAAATCATGGCCTAAATCCTCCAAGTCCTCCAAAGCTCCAAGGTATTATAAGGGCATCATATATAATCTATGCACATATTTCACGGTTCCAAATATGCTTGTATCGTCCGAAAGCGGCAATTTTTAGTACTACCTTCGAAAACATAACCCAATTTGGCAGTTCTAAAATATCAATGTTTTCTGGCTACCCCAAGCTTCACCCTGCTCCTCCCTGTGTAGTAGCCTTGTATATAACATGTATCTTAGCTATCATGCATCCTGTAGAACCTACTGAACCGCTATATATGCTACCAGTCATCACAGGGAGTGCATGCTAGCTACAATACTTTATA